GCCCGTGCAGAGGCCTGCAGCGGCAGGCGGTGAATGTTGGAGTCCGCCGTCACTGAAGCAAGCAAGCCTCATGTTCAGTTTAAGCTGCCTGGCTGCCGGCCACCATGTTGGCTGACAGTTAATTTGCATATCGCCCCTGATTAGACAATGGGAAGGGTAGCGGTCGTACGCCAATTACCATGTTTCTCTTTTATTAGATAGGACTAGTAGCCCTGCTCACTAATTCATGCGCGAGTAACTCGCTGCCACTTGCCTCAGCTGGCCACCCACCCACTGCCACTGGTAGTTCTCCGCTGCTCAGAGCTCACTGCCACGCCCTTCTGTAGCTCTCTGCCTGCTGCCCCACCCTCCTGTAGCTCTCCTCACTCCTAGCTCACTGCCCCACCCTCCTGTAGCTCTCCACCTCTTGTAGATTGGATCTGACGTTACGGCATAACAGATAATTAGCATATTCCTCTCTTATTATATAGGACTAGACGCCTGGTGCACGAAATTCATTCGTGGTGGGGGGTCCCTCAGCCCAGCCTACAACCTCTTGCAATTCAGGACCCCTCGGGGGATGTCTGATTGCCAATTTAGGCCTGGTCCCACAGGCATCCCTGCAAGATCAGGTCTAAACCTGCAGTCAGACATTCCTCTTGCAATCGTGACCACTGGCTCCTAACCACTCGCCTGCCTGCCTGCCTAATCGCCCCTAACCACTTGCTTGCCTGCCTGAGCACCCGTGACCACTTTGCCTGCCTGCCTAATCACACCTAACCCCTCTGCCTGCCTGCCTGATTGCCCCTAGCCACTCGCCTGCCTGCTTGATTACACCTAACCACTTGCCTGCCTGCCTGCTCACCCCAAATCACTTGACTGCCTAATGATCACCCCTAACCACTCACCTGCCTGCCTGATCTCACCTAACTGCTCTACCAGCCTTCCTGATCACCCAAACCACTTGCCTGCCTGCCTGATTGCCTCTAACCTCTCTTCCTGCGTGATCGCTCATAACCACTCACCTGCCTGCCTTATTGTCCCTAACTGCCCCTGCCTGATTGACCCAAACCACTCAACTGCTTGCCTAATTGCCCCTA